TACCACGTTGTATCTGACAAACTATTGCAAACATTTCATAACAAAGTTGGATGTTAATTAATCTGAATATTTGCCTTAACTTCCTGGAACTCACTTGAATATTGAGATTATGTGCCAGAGGAACAACTATTTAAGACCAGTGGTAAAGTTCGGTATAAAACCAAGACCATCAAATTACTACACAAGTTGTTTATTTGTCCTTTATTGTACTTGAGTGTATTTGAAAAGATGCTTAAGAAAAAGAAAAGCTTTCCTCTCTGACAAAACTAACACCAGATCTATTTTTCACCCCAATATATAAGGTAGTGCAAAGAGAAAAATGCTTACTGAATTACACTTAAAAAATAGTTGCACTCATTTTCTGCTAGTATACACTTAAAAAAATAAAACTCGTGAATGGAGGAAATGATAATATTCAAGGTTTTCCTCATTCCTGTGGCATCTGAAAATGCATTTCACAAACCTATGCAAGTTCAGAAATACAAAGAAAGCACAGAACATGGAATATGAATCATTTTTATTAACCTGAGATATTGGAGTCTCTATTAGCCTATAGTGAAATTCCCCTGCGACACACATAATGGGTCACTGTAATATAACAGTATTACTTGAAAAAGGGCATACTGGAGAGATAGTAAGCAAAAACCCTTAGTGTATTTTCTGAAGTTCATAGACGGATATAAGAATTGAGCCCCTCCAAAATTGCAATCAGAGAAAACGATCATGAATAAACAGTTAACTACTAAAAGAGAAAACTCCAGGTAATTAGACATTATTAAAAGGTACAGATTAATCTTAACAGCTTGATCAAAGCTATTAAAACTTCCATGTATGAGTTATAATTACTGATCTTATCATCCTTTAGTTCATTTGCTTAAGATATTTTGTCTTTTTCTAATATTAGCCCAAGTAAACTCATATCAGCAAAGACAGCAAATATCACCGTCCCTCTTATTTCTCATAATTAACAATAATTCAGAATAACGAGAGAGAAACATAGGGAGCTGAAGACATTGCTTTTCCAGTTTCCAAACCATAAAAGAAAAATGTTAACAGAACCTTATATCTAAAATACTTTGAGAACAGTCTGTGACTAACAATCTGTTATTTACATTGCAAATGATCCACTGAAATCTTCTCAAAAAATCAGCAACTGTAACTTATATTGCAAATCCCACAACAGTCATCACTCAGCTGTGAAAAAACTTATATTCCTTAGCAGTATTGAGAGTAATTTTGGCGTTGCTGTTTTTCCATTTGTCATCCAAATTTGAACAGAAATCACTGTTTGAAAACAACCTGTTTCTGACAATGTTTGTTGCAAGGTATTTTGAGTTGAATGAGAGATAACTGAATGCCCACAAATACAGATTCTGAGTAACCAAAATGAAATAACACTTTTTTTTTCTTCTCCTTTGAAAGGGTCACAGAGAGCATTATCAAGATTTTAATCATCTCAGCTGCATCATCATAAATGTCTTACAACAAAAAGCCACTCTGAGTTATGTAGGTGCACTCTGACTTCGGAAGTTCAATTTGCAGAAATATTAGTCCTTTCAAATCCTGCCCTCTTGTGTATAGATCTTCATTAAGTCTTCTAAATAACACTTTCTACGTTCCATTACTTTCCTTCACACCTTCCCTCTCTGCTTTTTATCTTTCCTCACTTCCTTAGTGAGCACCAAACATAACGAACAAAGACTCAGTCAAGAAGAAAGAGTTGATTTCTTCATAGCTTTTCCATAACAGAAGAGGAAGAAAACCCGTCCCTATATGCCTTCTATACATCAGAAGAAAAAATACCAACCCACCCACATTGACAGTTAAAGTATCTTTAATTTTTTTTTGCTCTGGAATGGGGCCAGCATTCCTACAAATTGTCTGAATAAAGTTCCTAACTACATATCTTATTCTTTTAGACAAGTTTGTTTGCTCCTCTTCCCCAGTACTACGAAAATTCTGACTGCAGAATAACTCCATAGGACTTATTGCATGCTGGATACGTAGCCTATTTTTGGAATTGGCATCAAGCAGTAACTTCAGATAGTTGTAAGAAAAGATTCTGATTAACTGAATATTAATTTTATTTAGATGAAATATACAGCTTGCTATTTTTAAGAGGAAGTTATTAAGGTAATGTTATATAAACTGTGAAGACATTATAAAACTTCATAGACATGATATAATATCAACATTCCAATTTTATCAAACTACTTTAGGATATGTATATAAGTAAGAATTTATTATAAAGATGAAAGGGTAGAAGGAATATTTTACTCTGCTCCATATTTTAAGACGTGCATCCTCAGTATAACTACAAATGAGTATTGTAGGCTTTCTTAAGTTTAAATGCTTAAAAACTAAGTAGGCTTCCCACTTCAAAATACACAGCTGATGTAGAAAGTGTTATTTAAAGCATGGCCTACCATTTCAATAGAACAGAAGAAATGTTCCTACGAGTTAATACATGTGAGGAAAACAGCAAGAACTATGAACTCTGTATGATGCAAAATATAGAAATTCTCACTTAAAATGTGGTCCATATCTCATCTATTAATGTATTCAAAATGGAAATAAAATTCTGAAATGTTCTAATAGCTGCTCATGAGAAAGATTTAAAACACCAACAGCCTCAGAAACAAACAGACAGTTTCTTATGGGGTGGGCTTAGAATATCAGCAACCTCAGAAAAAAACCTACAACTTCATTTATAATCCAGAAAATCAGTACTTGATCAAATAAAAATATTTACTTTACAAAATGTAACTGCTACTCATTGGTAATCCTTGGTCATTGATTTGGGGATGTGTCTGTAAATCATCAGAAACTTTAAAAAAATAAAAATAAAAATGAAAAACAAAAAACACAAACCAGACACCTTTCTTCTTGATTACCATATGAGTAGAACCTACCAAAGATCAGGGCTTATTGAATTGCAGCTTTGAAGATTCTCGAAGTCTGTAAATGGAGTGAAGATTTTTTTTTTTTTAAAGTGTTCACAAACACTCATGTGTGATGCTTTGACAAATATTAAGTTATGTCAAAATAAAGGTTCACCAACTGCAAAGTCTCTTTCCGCTCTTACTAATACTGGTTGAACTTTCTTAAGCCACCACCGTGAAAGAGTTTTTCAGTGCTTGACTAAAAAACTGCACTAAAAATACCCTTGCCAATCCAGAAAAAAAAAAAAAAAAAGTTTAATCAGAAGTGATTTCTACACCTAGAAAATAATGAATTATAATTCCAGCAAGCACATAGAAGTTCTAAATTAAAACTTACAAATAAAAATGCATTTCAGCCTTTAGGAAGCCAATAGAGAACCAAACATTGTCACACAATCTGCTATTAAAGATATTTTAATCTCAAATTAGGAGTCCTGACATATATACACAATTTAAAGTTACATAAGTAGTACGCTGGAATCTTAAAAAAAAAAAATATTTTCCACTGGCTGGTGCACCAGTAATTCTATTTTTTTAGTCTAGAAACAATTTTGGGTATTTTTTAAAAGACTGATAAACAGAAGGTACTGCTGAACAAAACTGTTACAGTTGCACAGATTCTCAGGGATTTTCAAGTAGATACAGAATTAACTGTTGTTTTTCAAAGGCTTGCTTTATTTTATTTTTTATTTTTTAATTTGGAATGAAAAAAATAGGTGGCAAGCACCACAATTTACAGATTTGAATAGCAAATAATTACAGCAGACATTTGGAAAACAACCAATGTTTAAGAGTTTTTCAGCTGTTGGCTAAACAACTGCAGCTATCTTTGCCAAAGTAGAATAAAATGTGCACTAATTGAAAGTAATTTCTGCATCCAGAAAATAATTTCTTCATTAAACTGTTTTAAGATGTTCAACCAATTACTGCTACTCTATCTACTCCACTGTGCAGCCGATTTTTGAACTTCAATCTCATCCGGAGTTTATAAACTATATTTTTTTAAGTGGAACTATTTGACAGCACACAGGACATGCTCTCATCATTGACTCTCAAATCTTACTAGCTGCTCCAATTGTGAGTTTTGCTTAAGATGCTACTCTTAATTCCACACAGTGCAAAATACCACTGTCTTAAATTAAGCCATCACTTCTAATAGGGTTGGTTTTCTTTTTTCTATGTACACAGATAGATTTTTCCTTATATTTATCTTATGTAAATACAAAGGATACAAAGTTATTGTTTAATCTTGAGACAAACTCTACTATACTTAAACACTAGAAGATTCAATGCTAGATTTTAGACCAAGTTATACAATTAGTTAAATTCTCTTTTGTTATATCAGAAGTTCACTGTGAGGTAGACCACTAAGGACTAATACCACAAACGTTAAAAACTAGATTAACTAGTGGCTTAATAGGGAAACTGTAGGAAATTGAATGAAAAAAATCAGATCACAGTATGGAAAAGAAGATATTAATATATATAAGAGCATAAAAAGAAAATACAACAGATGACGACCAACGAGTACTTTTTCAAACATGACCGTATAAGGAAGCAGAGAAGATAGAAAGGATTTTCCTGCCACTTCTGAGTTAAGCTCATTCTCCTTATTATCACTGATGAAAAATAATACAAGCCTAGGTAAAGATAATATTCAAGCAAAAAGTTTTATCTACTATCAGGAGCTAAAATTAATTAAGATAAAATTCTCATATGTCTAGATACAAGTATCCAGAGTTTGAGTCTATAGAAGATACGATCTGCACGCTCTAATTATTGAAACAGCAATCAGATTATTTTCAAGATACCTTGATATCAACATGTACACATTACAACTGCAGACTCAAAAAATTGCTTTAGAGCTTGCACAAATAGAGAGTGCTTATGCTATGTTAAAGTAGTGCAAAATGAACACCAAAGTATATTTTAAAAAATTGTATTCAGTTTATGATTTAATCTTGCAAAATATTAAATATTTGTGTGAAGAAATAAAGCTGATTTACAAGGAAATGCATGAAAAATTGATAATCCACTTAAAGAACATTTTGTACTGACCTTCAGGATCAAGGAGCTTCTCTATGCCCAGGTGTTGCCTGGCTATGTTAAACGCATGGTCTAATCGTTTCACAGGTGACTGCTGAGAAGCAACAGCATTCCAATCAAACAGGTCTGGCCTAAAAACAAAAACAAAAACAAAAAAATAATTAAGTTTCTTCTTTTTCAGTGTTAAATTATATATTTCTTCTGCTACGCATCAGTGTCAAGTACTACTTTTTACTTAATGAAAGAATGTATTTGGTCAGATTTGGTCAGTATTGGAATTAATGAAGCTGGGTTTCTAACGTGTCATCCATTTTCATCTTCAACACATTAAGAATTTTTCTTATTCGTCATTAAGCCCCACTGGCCTACAGCCTCATTCCCCCAACCAGTTGTTTCTACCCATTGTGCTCTGGTCCTGTGTCTGCCCAAAATGCCTGCAGCAGGTTTGCTCTCTCAGTGTATGGGTGAGAAGAATCGTGCTGTGGCTGTGCACACTGAGATTAACTCACAGCAAGCCAAGCAGGATAAGTAACTGCTGTGTTTATTTTGCAGCCTTTCTCCTCTCTCCAGTACCCAGTTTTTTACAAGTCTAAGAACATAATTGCTGCTGAGATTGCCAACTCTCTGCTATATCTGATTGAAATTGGCCAACAGGTTCAGCATATCATAATGTGGGAACATATGCAGCATAACTGCACATGCCACTTCTCATACCAAAACCTTTAGAAAAACACATACTTTTCAGATGAGCACAAAATTGTACTCCAGTCATGGGTTTTAGCTGATATGAGCCAAAGGCCTACAGCACAATTTAAATGTGCTTACAGGAAAAGACAGCACCAGCAAAATTGAATTACAGCTGAGATACATCTGAGTACTTGTACTATAAATTGCAGTATTTACAACATAAATAATGTTAATACAGCATGAAATTTGGTATTTCATCTAAGAATTACCTATTAGGATCAGAATTTGCTACCAGGCATTTTCGAAAAGAAAGTTTAATCAGGTGATCAATAATCAACATGCATAATATGAAAAAAACAAGCGCACTATTTATGATTTTGACACAATGTTCTAAAACAAACCACATAAATACATAATTTTACCTACAGATAAATCAAGTATGATCTAAACATGTTACAATGTTGTCATTAGTTACGAATGATTTGCTTACATTTTTATTAAATTCAAAAGTTTATTTTAAACAGTGAGTCCTATAGTTATAATTGATGGCAAAAACGTTAAGTAGATCAGACTCTAATAACTTCAAGAGAGCAAAGGAAAAATGATATTTATGTAGCAGTAATTTCCTAGTTATGTACCCTTGCTGCCTAATTTCTTCTGAGAGGGAAGTGATTTACATAATAACAATTAAGTTTTTATAAACTATTTTGCCTCTTTATGCAGAGGTTTTTAAATATTAATTACGAATAGACTACTGCTATTAATTTCTCCTTTCCCCATCAGAAAGATTTCAAAATATTAAATTTTGCTGGAGACAAGAGGCGGATGGAAGAGGAATCTTAAGGGGTTATTATCTCTGTCTCTAGTCATGGATGTAGTAAGTCTGTGAGCTCAGAGACAGGCTTGTGTACCAAAATACAAGCATTTTCAAAATACAGATTACGTGTGCACAATTTCTTGCATCCTCCTGGTACTGTATCTGGATAGGATGGAGTTAACAATCTTCATAGCAGTCCACTGTGTTTTGGAATGGTGGTTTAAACAATATTGAAAACACATACTTTTTTTCTTTTTCTTTTGCTGCACTCACACAGTATCAAGGCTTTTTCTTCCCTCCACATTCCTGCATGTAAGCTGGATGTGTGCAGAAAGTAGGAGACAGGACAGCTGACCCAAACTGGCCAAAGGGACACCCCATACTATGCAATGTGCCCAGCAAGAAGAACTGAGGTAAAGGAAGAAGGAGATTGGGATTTCGTCCTCTAAGGCAGCTGTTGCTTAGAGACTGGCTGGGCATCCATCTGCTTGTGGGAGGTATTGAGTGACTGTATTTGCAACACTTGCTTTTCCATTCCACTTTCCTTCATTTATTTTTCTGACTTACAAGTTTTCTTGCTTTAGCTCTTCCTATTTTCTGCTCTGTCCGGGGGCACAAAGCAAGAAAATAGCTGCTCAGTTGCTGGTTGGGTTTGACCCACTGTTCCACTGCATCCTATATACTGTCATAGAGATGTTCTTCACTTTTTCTCTCAAATTTAACTTTTTTTTTTTTTTTTTTCTTCTGTCCTATGGCATAGAATGCCTAAGCTCATACATCAGAATTAGCGAAGGGAACACTGTAGTAATGACAGAGCTCTTATTTTCCTGAAAAGCTCTCCATGGATGTCTTGGACAAACATTACAGGGACTACCACATATAAAAAAATCAGTGACAAAAGCTTTTAGGACAAGGAAAGAAAACCGAAGTATCTGAAGGACTACTTCCCCCCTCCAAATATTTTTTGGGGTGTTTGATTTCAAGTTCCAGTCATATTTCTTCTTCTGAGCAGCACATTGTTTTCACAAAATCATAGCTGGTTTGTTGAGACAAGATTTTATGTCCAAGATCATGGTTTCTTCTAACCAGTCTGGATTCCATTGGGCAAGAACAAGAACATTTGGAATTATGGTCATCAGTAGTATCTTGGATATTCAGTGTCATCCACCTTCTCAGTATATCTCTCTTTGAGATGGCAAAAATTTGAACTGAGAATACAAATATAATAGTAGCAAGAGCTCTACAATAAACCAATGGCAGGTGTGTCATAATATATTTTCTCAATATAATAAAAATAAGAATAAAAAGATGACAGCACAGATTCCAAGCTGACTCAAAGGTATATATAGCCACCTACAGCAACTCAGCTCTTAGAAAATGGACTTAAATTAAGTATATATGTAGAGAGAGATAGAGAGAAAAAGCTCTCTTTGATCCAGCAGTAATCTAACTCTGCAGATTGTCGCTCTTTTGGAAGAATGCTTTAGCATACACATTTCATCAGTTCCATCACTAGATTATGGTCTTATAATGGCAGTTTGATACGTCAGCTTCTTGGCATAATGTCTCTAGATGTTTTGATTTGTGTATATACAGGGCAATATGACCAAGAATGACTGCAGGGGATACTACAGCCTAGAAGATTAAGAACAGCAGCATGTTGCAAATAGTTCTTAAAAATCCATGAAACAACAGTGAAACAGAATGTTTACTAATGGCAAAGGAGTTTTAAATATAGGGCTAAGCGGGTGTGAAATAGAACAGAATAGAAATCAAATGGAATACTGATTCTCAGCCTTCACTTGCTCTTTCTGTGTTGTTCAAAGCACTTTTCACAATCTGCAACTTGGTTCATATCTGACAGGCAGTAAAGCAAAGCAGACATGGCTAGGAAGTGTTCATTTCCCTCCCTGAAAATATAAAGGCATACACATTAAAAAAAAAAAAAAAGAACATATTGAACTTCAATCTCCAATTAGCCGCCAGATAAATAGCTACAATAGCACTGACCTTATTTATGACACACTGAGCACACACTGAAAGTTTTAAAGGCTTTGACTGTAACTGTACTACATTTATGTATATAAATGTAATACGTAATCATAGAAAGATTTTGCTCAGAAAAGACCTTCAGGACTATCTAGTTTCCAGCCTCTTAATAGAGCAGATAAACTTTCTACCACTCAGACTGCTCAGAGCCCCATCCAACCTGGCCTTGAACACTTCCAGGTGGTGTGTGGAGCAACCACAGCTTCTCTGGGCTTCCTGTGCCAATGCCTCACTCACCATTCTCATAGTCAAAAATTTCTTCCCTATCCAATCCAAAACTGTTACCTTGTCACTGTAGGCTCTACTGAAAACGTCTTTCCCATTTTTCTTACAAGCTCCCTATCCTTATACACCTAGGGAGATGGTTCTACTTAACAGCTACTGCCTTGCTATGTCAGTAAAATGCAGAACATACCATTCACAGAACCATACCCAGAATTTATACTCTGAATATTAGCAACGCAAGCTCACTGATGTGCCCTTGTAGCTTTATCAAGAGACCTGCGCTCCACTGCTTCTTGAAGTCATTATTAAATGCAATTGGAATAGAGCCTAAATGTCCCTAGAGATGCAGTGATTACACAAATGGGAACATCTACTCCACGTAACCTCTTGAAAAACAACAACAGAAACAGCATTAGAAATATCTGATAAAAAAAAAATAATAAAATCAACCATAAACAGGAGAAGGGATGGATAAAAGTCTATGAGAGAAAGCTTCCTACTGAGTACTGCTCTCTTATATGTATTTAGTGCTTCACACTCGTATCTTACTTCTATTCCCTTCAAGAGGGCATGAGAATATTCATTCAGATAAAATTCCATAGTATTCACTGAAGATCTCCCAGATACAAAAAACAAGCCATCCAGCCCTCACTGAAAATATCAGATAAGAAAAATGAAAATATCACCAATGACAGGATAGGGATGGGATTGTTTTTGTTTCATTAAGGCATGTAATTTTTCATACTATCATTCGTTGAAGTAAAAGGGAGCACACGAGGTGAGATTAGTGCCTCATGCTAAGCCAATATCTCCTCCCAATTAACAGCCTTCAATCCTTCCACATCTCAGGATTTTAAGGAATTTCTGAGTTGGAGACTTCACGTTTTGTGCAGACCTTTTTAATGGGAATTTAGCAAGGCTGTCCAAAAAGTTTGTGTTCCATGTTTTCACTCCAGCCTTAAGATTTTTGCACCTGAATCATGAACAAAGACAACCTAGGGCTACAGAGATGGGGAAGGGTCCAGAGGGGAAGATGTATGAGGAGCGGCTGAAGCCCCTCGGTGTGCTCAGCGCAGAGCAGAGGAGCCGAGGTGAGGCCTGATGGCGGCTGCAGCTCCTCACAGGGAGCGGAGGGGCAGCGCTGAGCTCTGCTCTGTGTGACAGCGACAGGGCCCGAGGGAACGGCATGGAGCTGCGTCAGGGGAGGGCAGCTGGGGGTCAGGGAAAGGGGCTGCACCACAGCGCGGTGGGCACAGCCCTGAGTGCTGAAGTTCAGGAAGCGTTTGGACAACACTCTCAGATATATGGTCTGATTTTTGGGTAGTCCTGTGTGAAGCCAGGAGCTGGACTTAATGGTCCTTCTGGGACCCCTCCAATGTGTTGTACTCTATGATTCCGTTACACTTAGTACTGCCTATGAAGTTTTCGGAGGGCAGATGTAAAAAATGTAACAGTTGTGGAAACAGAAGGTTGACCAAAATACAGCAACTTTCCATTGTGCTTATTCCTTGACTTCACTTACGGTGAATATAATGCTTTCCATATTGAAGTGTTTGTTCTCAAATGTTTTCACAAATACTTATCTTGAATTACGTTGAAATATTATCCAGCATCTGAATTGAATTGTACATTTAGCAATGCAAACATGATGTAAGACAGGTTGATGTGTTTTTTTCCCTTTATGAAGACCAAATGGACACATAGAATCTACCATTAGTTACACCCTCCGAGTGCAGTAACATCAAAACCAAGAAGAGATGTAAGAACTATTTCCCATTTTACCTACAGTTGCCTTCCTCCTGATACTCTTCTCTCTTTCCCCACACCACTCAGAAGGAACCACCCACAAAGTCGGTACAACAAAAGTGTTACAGAGCCTGTAAATTGATGATGAACACATGGAAGGTGTTGAAGGATATATCAAAGATACAAAATTACTATGAACTTCATATAGTTTATAAAGTTTTCTATTTTACAGTTTACACGCGCTTCCTTCAAAACTATTCTCAATTATCTGTTATGAACTGCGAAAAGTAGAGTTTGCAAAACAGTTAATTTTCATGAAATCGCAGTTGAACAGCATAACTAAAATTTCAACCCCCTTCCCGTCCTCCACTGTATGTCGTGTTTTCTGAAAGTAGAATGTTAATTAAATCTATTTCTAGCAAACTACAATTTAAAAACTTAGGCAGTCTGCCAATATTTCAAATGAAGCAATACATAAGGACATGGTCAAGTGTTTATTTTGATGCAGTTATAAAAAAAAGCTTGAAATATTTTTAGAAGAAAAATCTAACTGTTAAAATACTAGTGTGGTTTAGATTCACCACAGGAATAACCACAGAATTTAGGAATCGATCCTAACAACTTCCTACTTCCTGCCAAAATACTGTTCGTTGCACTTCAGTATATAAATATTATGAAGCAATGTCTTTGTAAGCAAATGAAAGGAGAATGAGTAAGGAAAATTTAATGTTTGTACTTTCTAAGGGACTGATTCCTATAGACAGCAGGAAGAAATAACTAACAGTATCAGAGAGATCTTCCCTCACTTCTGGAGAGCAGAACTGAAGAAACAAAAAAATCAAACAGGGAAAACAAATGAACTTCAATCAAAAGTGTTTCTGTTAAATGACTTTTAATCCTAAGTATTTAAAATACAAAGTATTAATAAAGCATATGATGTGGGAAACATAAGGTTTCACGTAGCCTGGTGATCATCCCCTATTGTCAGGTTTAAATTCAAACTGTCTACTGTAAGCACAAAGCCAAGACACTCTGGCATATAAGAAGTAGGCACCTGCATTTTAAATTGGCTGAAGTAACTGCCAAGGCTTCTTACAAAAGGCTGTTTATTCTTTTATGGGATAGAAGTAGATGAACAGTCAGAGTACATTAGCACACCTATTTTATTGATTGCATCTTGAATCTTGAAGGCCAATTCAGTGCTCCTGCATACTGAACATAAAGTGCAACGTCACTGAAAATCAATACAGAGGACACACTAAGCAATTAAGCATTAAGCAGGCTCACCTGAAAAATTACTGACTCAGGGCTGCAAAGAATATTGAATCTCCCTCTGCGACATTTCCAGATTAACTCAGTGATTAGCAAAGTCCAAAGAAGACAACTAGTACATTTTGGAGTTAATAGAGACGTACCTCCAAGAATCTGAATGCATGCTCGCAATTTCCTAGAAGATTGCCCAAATTCCTAGACTAGAGACAAAACTTCAATAAAGAAATTCCTTTTTACTTCCACTCAGGGCAGGCTCACTATGCAGAATGCTATGGAAGATTTATGACAGCAAACATAAGATGAGCAAAAAAGATGTTCTGCTGCTATGTTATAGTGAAACCGAATGAAATGCATAGATTTCAGTGAGTAGGAAATAAACATTCACAACTAGTGAGCTCTGCATTGAACAGAAGACAGCACTGGATAAGATATAACTTACAGATACTTAGACTGTTGTCTAGTGCTGAGGTAGCCTAAGTAGGATGGAGGCACCTATCTGCATCCCAAACCAAGGACTACTAAGTACGAGCCTCTGTTTAGGAATCAAGAGGTCATTTTATAGAGCTGGACAGAATGAAATTTGTCATTACTAATTTCAGGCACCAGGTGATGATAGGCAGTATTTTTAAGCAGGCAATTTGAATATTTCAGTATCAGATACCTTCACTAGGAAACAGGCAGCCCATATCACATCTAAGTGAAAAGACATATGACAACTCTGGCGTTCTGCTAAACTGATTTGCTAAAAGACATATCAAAATAGTTAAAATGTCAAGCGATAATACTGATTTTAGATTTTGAGTTTACAATACTAACTAGCAATCCAATGTAATTTTAGCATAACCATTTTCTGGTTCTTTTAAAATATTTTTCTTTTGAGATATATCTAATTCTATTTGTTGTTGTTGTTGCTGGAACAATCTGACAGTTTCCTGTTATTTATTAATGTCCTTCTAGGAACTTTATCACTAGATGTCAAGTATAGACTGTTCATTTTGTAGTGAAAGTCACCTACGACAAATAAAATACTTGAAGCATCTGCATAGGCATTTACTGCTTTAATTTGAAATTATTACTCAACAGTTTTTGTGGGAAAGCAAAAGACTACTTCAAGCCCTTAAAAAAAGAAAAACTTTGTAGTGCTTTGTGAAGCACACAGAAGGAAAAATCAAAATGTCATAAAACAGACTAAAACTTTCCAGTTTCACAATCTATAACACATATGAAACGAAGAGCAGCTTGTAATGATCATATTGTTAACACATTAAAACTCTCGGTAGCTGCTGAAGAGTAATTTATAGGAATAGTGATATGTAAAGAGCCTAGAGATGCATTTATATTTGCTGTAACCTTGGATAAGCATTAAGTTTTCAACTTCTCAGTGCTCACACTGCAGTGAAAATAGCACTGATAGAACTAAATTCTGGAAGATCCAGGGAAAGATTTTGTTAAACTCCATTAATTAGTTCCTCAAAATAATAATAAATGTGCATTCTCATGAGCTTTCATCTAAAATTAACACACTAAGATGTATGTGTGATCAAAAAGAGAATACACATGCCTGTTCTAAAATTAATTAGCCTGAAGAAAGCTACATTCTTCTAAGGATGTAGCTAGTAATTAGCTCTACAAATGAGTTATTAATAGACAAATCTAAACCAACACTTTGATATGACAAATGAAGAGCATCACTGACCATGGAATATCATCATGGAATATTTTGAGTACTCATCTCAGTAGTAACAAACGTAATGTTACCCACGTATTTACTAAAGTAAAATGAATTTGTTTGAGAATGTCATGATCTTCTAATTATTATCTGCATGTATCTCATCAGTCTGTTAATGAGCTTTTTGTTATACAATTAAGTGGTTGATTTTCCTTGGGAAATTATCCCCAACAACAATCACCACTACAAAAGTAGGAGAGCTTTGTAGATGTATTGAACTCTGAATGCAAAGCTCTGAATGAAGTTCTTAATGCACAGAGTCCAGTTAAAGATGAAATTCTCCAAGCACATTACCCAAGATACAGTTTAACAACATATCTAAGAGGGTAGAACCATCGACTCCACTGGCAAAGTGCTATCATTTTGAGAGCAGTGACCTTAATCAGACAGTTTATTCAGAAACAGTTACCTGAGGTAGTGAAAATTCTGGAAATACTTGTAGATCTTCACTAGTAAATTTGAAAGACAGTCTCTAACTGTACTTTTGGAAGTATTTAGCAAAATTTTATTTTAGGCTTTTAGCAACTAACAAAATATTGCTTGGCTTGTTGTACTAATATTTTTTAAATTCCAATTATCTCTTGCTAAATAGAACATATTCATACCTGTTCAAAAACTTAAATGACAATCTGGAGCAGTCAGCTGCCTTGCAGGTCTATCCTCTTCAGGTGAGAGGTACAGAAGTATGAAAGGCAGTTCAGGAGGCTTTCCACATTCGAAAATAAGTATTTCTTTGAAACCAGTGGTGCCATGAGTCCCACCAGCTGGACCTTTAAAATAGACTGGCTTGCATCTTTTCCTTAATCCAAGTATACAAAACCACTAGAGGACTTTGAATCTCTAGAGATACAGTTTCATATAGCATACACCGGAAGAAGTCAAGTACTAAGAGAGGGAGAATACTAAAATCAGCTGGGGAGCAACATAAAGGGTTTTGAAAATACAGGCTACTTTCTCCAGCTCTGTCTTTTCAAGGCAAATCCATACTTTCAATCCAGCAACTGTCAGAGGCTTTCAACAAGCACTACACTGTGCCTCTCTAGGTGCCTAAAGGAAAATGTTTTCCCTCCAGGTCAACCTCAAAGGTTTAATTTTGGATTTACTGCTTGCTTTTCTTGAAAGTTTCCAAGCCTGTGATCCTCTATCAGACTCTCAACTTGCTATGCATTGAAATTCCAGGAAAGGATCTGAGCTGAGAACCTTCACTTACACTGTAGGAATGCTCAGATCCTCTTCCTCTGCTAGAGGTTTTCAGTCTGACTGTGTATCTACCTAGTTGACAGTAAAAATCACAGAACAGATACACCATTCTCAAGTCCTGTTGGAGCCATCTGTTATAGGCTCTGAACTGAAAAGACTGAAACAATGAGAAGTTAGTTTTCCTACCTGTGACTGTGAAGGAGTGCATTGAAAGCCAATCCATCAGACCAGCTACTGGTGAAATTGATAACATTGACCTGTGGGTAATTACGAGTTGATTGACGGACCCAGCTCAGCAGAATCTTTTCACTGTTTGTCTGCTGCAGTCCAGCCATGATGTTTTTCATTACATCTTTGACCTGCAAAAAAACCCAGAATCTCATCAATGACTGAGCATCCTCATTTAAAGCTAAATCATTTTTTGATTCCCAAAACCTCCACTTGCTTAGATATAAGCATTGAAGAAAAACCTCCTAGGTAACCAAAGAACATACTTGGTGTCACAGTACAATGACAGTGATCAAACTGGAATACATAAAAACAACTGATGCTGACTTGTTGTCTGCCATTGCCGGCGCACTCAGTAAAATCACCACTGTTTCCCATGAAGTGCTCCATGAGCAAGCAGAGAAGGTACATTTGCATGCACTACTTATTGGAACAGAATGCGTACAAAAGCAGCCTTTCTCTTTGTAGTTTTCTTTGCTCTGGAAATGCATCCATAGTTAATAGAATATAACAAAGGCTGATAAAATGATAAAAAGCATCTTTCTCTCATCAACAAAGTCGAAGTAATACAAAGGTAAAATAAATAAGAACAGTAGAGAGCACAGTATTTTCTATTTCAGCATGTAAACTGTATTTGCATATGTGTACCCAGATGAAAAATGAATTTCACTGCACTTATTAAAGGAACACTGTATATGTTTCATGTTTTGAATTTTGTTTCAGAAACAGTTAATACTCCTCTTTCATCAGAGAAAGCTCACCTATCTCTAGTTACTGCTTTACAGAGCAATTAATTCTGAGGGTTTATAAAATATTTCCCTGGAGTTTGATACAGTGTAGCTGCTAATATATTTCTTAGCAACTTCTTTACTGGTGAAAGAGAAGCTCATAATTTATTTTCTTGTAAAGTATTCCCTTTGAAATCACTGTGCTCTCCATATATCTTGGAAAGCATAGCAGCTTTTAAAAAATATTCTCTAAGACTTTAAAATTTAAAATTTAATGATAGAGTTGTTTTTCCTTATCGACTCATCCAAGGTATTTCTTTATAATTCTCATTGGCATTGCTCAGCAACCAGTATCATCAGAAAACAACACCTAGTTAGTGCACTATTTACTTTATGACAAGGATTGACCACATTCTAATAATAAAACTTGTGATGCAATACACAAGCTATAATTCCAAAGCATAATCAACTATAAAAAAATAATTACTAAGGTACTGCAGAAAAACAGCAGGAATCAGTTCATTATCCAATCTGACTCTAATCAATCCAATCACTTGAATCAATTATTGAACAGACATATGAATTACGAAAACAATCTCTTGTTTTTATATCTGAATTGCACACTATTATCAATACCTTCAATTTTTCATTTTTGAGACAGGTATAAAATTAATTTCTGACATGAGGAGAGGGGGAGAAACTCATCCTCTATGAAATTCTCTGGCCATAATCTTGCCTTTAATCTACAACTGTAATTTCTATAAACGACAACGGTACAAATGCTAGGTACAAGAATAACAGCATTCTGTAGTTCCTTCAAATCTACACCAGAAAACAGAAAGTAAAGAGTTTGGGAAAATTAGTAAGTTTGCAACTTAGGTTTTTTTTTTTTTTTTTTAATGGGTATCCTGTATTCTGTTTGGGTATCCTTAATTTTCTTCTTAATTTTTTCAGTCTTCATGATTGAGACTTGCCAAATTAGACTTAAATAATTCAGCAAGAGTTCAACTGCCGTATTTCCACACACACACAGACACAAAAACTGACTACAAAAATATAAAATTTTGTTCTTCGTGAATCCAGGTGCTAAAAAGAAGAGAAGTTTCAAGTGCAACATTTATTAAACCAAATTTAAACAACGTGAAAGCATTCAAAATATCCAGGTTGCGCTAATGGAGAAATATTCATGCTACGGTTTCATTGTTCTTTTAGGATTTTTACTGTGTCCTTGTGTTCACAAGTACAGGTATCTGAATACAAGAAGTAAACAATAACATTTGAAAAATACAATGTTCTTTTTGTGGGAGAGCTGAATTTATGCAAAAACAAGAATTAAAAATATAAAAGTTTGTAACAAATAAAAAATCAAATGCCTGCATTGACATTAACGTAACAGAAAGTATCAGTGAACTGTGAGCACTGTGAAACTCTAAGTTGGCCATGAAATAAAGCAATGGGCTGCCAAGGAGGTAACTATTCAAATTAATCCAGGCAAACTCTTGAATTTTGCTTTTGATTTAAAGAGAAACAGCCTGAAGTTCTCCATTTTTTTCTACTTTTGAGAAAACAGCTTCACACTCATCTTGCTGCATTTAATATTCTGACAGTAGATAAAAGATTTACACCAATTTTCCTGCATTTCTCTGCAGAAGACTGCTAAATTTATGATTTTTTGCTGCCCCTTGGGGAACTGCAGGCATTTAAAAATAACAAAGTAAAAGGGCCTGATCTCATCCTGAAGGTTTAGATTGTTTCCTATTCAGTGAGAAATAGTGAATAATTCCCCTTCTGCAGTTGGAAACCTCCTTGTTTTCCCGAGCACTTCCACCCTTTCTGTCCTGACAGCAGCACCCTGCACTACTGGGGGCACTGAATGAGCTGCAAGTGGGATAGCTTGGCCTTGAACCAAGTCTGCAGCTGAATAAGAGAAGGCTGGCACTGAGGTTAGAAGGAAACTTTCTGAAGGCTTCTTAGTTAAGATGCCCTCTTCAGAAAGACCAGTACTTAGAAATGTATGTGTCAGCCTGAAGAGTTTCTGGATGGATTCCACCCTGAAATAAGCTGCCTCAGCATCCAAGATCAAAAATTACACCCATTCCAAAGCAGCTAGCAGTTCATTTCTTTCCTACCACTCCTTTCTAATGCCATACATCCTCACAGAAAACAAAGCTTTAATGCATAGGAAACTCCAACTGGTGGAAAACAGAAATAGTTGCTCTTACTGGTGGATGGCCCCATACTACTGTAATAAGAAAAACTGCTTTTAAATAAAAAGAGGGAAAGGGCAGCATAAACACCACCACAGGTAACTTCCAACATGTTAAAGTTACAAACTAAAGGCTATGAACAGAACAGGCACACGACCTCTCATCACGCAGGGAAACATTGAGGCTCCTACACCTGAGGCACAAAGGCAGGGAGAGGCCACCTCCAAGCAGCCGGAATAGAAAAGAGCTGGTCCTGCCACCTTTTCCAGCAGGGAGGCCTCCTCCGTTCCTTGCTGTCGCTCGATAAACGTGCTTCCTTCAGGGAGCCATGTTGAGGAGATGTGAACCAAGCACAGTGCATGGCACGTCTGTATGCAGCTTGCCTTGTCTCAAGGCACCTGTCTCAGCACGAGGCATGTCCAGTTGTGGACTAGGGACTGGGGAGGCTGAAAGTGAAGGAAGGGGATGAGATGGCACATAGAATGGTTGCAAAAGAAGGTGTGATCCAGAGGCCTTGATTTTGAGGAATTTAAAGGCCAAAGACTCCAAGGTACTAAGAGCTAAAAAGCCCTTTAAGTTTGGATGGCATGGGAAGCATCTGGCACTGGGTGTGAAAAACCAGCGCATCTGTGCCTGGCCCTCTGCTGCAGAGGACTTCTGATTTATCTGCTAGACTGCTAGGAAGCCCTGGAGTCTTTATGTGGGTGCAGGCTATCTATGAACACTGCACACCTGCAACAAAAACACAGGTATGTAACATTTTATTGGAATGGTACAGAGATTCAGTATGCCAGCCACTACAAGACAGGGAAGAAAGCAGGACAGAATTTAAAATATTACTCCTTACTTTTAAGCCTTACTTAAAAGTTAAGGCTTTTTCATTTTGCTCAGTCAAACGGGGTTCTGGCAGCTCCCTGACAGAATGATTTAGTATTTTTTACCTACTATATATGACTGCATGGATTACTTTTTTATGGCCAGAATCCCCTCAACTCTTTCAAAGCACATTTTAAAGAACTCCTTTTTAAAGAACATTTTCATAGATTTTCAAGACACCCATCAAAGCAAGGGAAATTCTTTGCTCATTGATTTGAGGTGAAATAATAAGACTGTTAGTATTTCATTTCCACTACTATATTTCAAAGTAAAATGGTAATTCCAATTAAAGTACAGGCTGTGCAATAAATGCATGAGAAGTCCGAAACTGTTAATAGCTCTGCAAAGAAGGCTAAGTGGAATACATCTCTCTGGAATATTTTCCTCATGCATACAGCTATTGCTTCGCTCTTTTTCAACATCTTGTGACTTTCACAAAAGATGTTCGTTAGGTTTGGTTTTTCATTCCAGTTATGAAAATAGGTTTGCTCTTCAAAAATAATAAAAATAAATAAATAACTAAATAATGCCATAAAATTCTGCCATACAGAATCTTTTTCTGCTTTTAAGAGAGAGATTCTTTGCCAAGCGTAACAATTCAGGAATTAATAGTATTGGTTTCTTTTTGTTTGAATACTAATTGAGCAGTGAAGCTGAGATCACAGAACTGTGAGGAAGAGGGCAGCAGCTTCAAAGAAATAGAAACCCTAATAGATTCAGCACCACGAAGAACTTAGGTAGCAGGTGCTCACCTCAGAACCATGGTTCAATTTGAGTGAAACTTTTAATAATAATTTGTAAAACAGGCTAGATAAGAAAGGACGTAATCAGTACAGCGGATAGAGAAAGCAACAAGATCTCTACTGAACAGAAATGAGAGTGGCAAGAATGAGACAAATCTTTTCTGCTGCAGTGCCTCCACAACTGAGAATGCTGATATCCATTCCGACTAGCACTGAAGCACTTTCTTATCATGAAAGTTTCTTTCTTCATTTCTCTCTCTCTCTTTTACATTTTACACAAAGACCCTGACATTTTCGTAAGAGGTGGTCTTGTTGCCATATATAATTGCAGTTCTACCCTAATGTCAGCCTGGTGCAGGATGTGAAACTGAAAAAAGCTTTTTGCCAGTTAATCTGCAGAAAAAAATATTTAACTGCCACACAACTCATATCTGCTATTTCCATGCAGGCAGGTGTACTTCATCTAGGTGACTCTTCTCAGCTCTGAAAGCTCTTGGGATCATAAAGGGAATGAATTTGCAAAAGCAGGATTGCATCATCAAGCACAGACTGCAACAACAGCATACATAAAATCAGCCACTTACTGTATATAGGCTTTTTTAGCCTCATACATAAAGCAGACTTGATACAAATCATAGGGAAAGGGATATTTTACTCAACGATAAAGAACTGGCAGAAAACTTTAGTGGCCCTAAGTCTGTAATTTAGTCTTAACAACAGCTTGTCATATTCTCAGCTGCCAAGTGTGAAGAACTATTTGCGACAGGGAAAATAGTGCAGAGGAAGAAGAGACCCATTCTTAAGAAACTTATGGACTTGTTTCACCAGAAGCGTTGTAAAAGTGTAAAACAGTACCAACTTAAGAACAGAGCAGAACAATCACAAACGTTCTAGAGTCATGTAAATCAGTTCAAAACTTGGAAGAAAAAATGGAAAAGAACAAAGATTTTTTCCACAATAGTGTAAATAAGCAGTTTCACTTTTAACTGTTTCAATCCTTTGAGGGGAAAATGCAGCAAACCAACATCTCCAGAGTTCTGTTTAAAAAGACAAATCTGGCTTTATATTTATTTTGTTTATTCATTATTCAACAGCAACTGCATTATCATATAACAACGTCTTCTTGCAAAACACAGCTTTATCTATTGTTAAGAATAGAGACTGATATTCAGTTCTATCCAAATCAGAATCTATTTATGAAATTTTGAATAAAAAGACAAATCTAGAGTATACAGGTCACTTCCTTTCAACAATCCATAAATAAATTGACTTGGAACACTATAGACTAAGCATGGGCTGAATAACGAATACTCAAGACAGCATCATATTATTAATCCCTACTTTGTAAATATGGTCCCTGACTTTTCATACATGGATAATTCAGCTGATGCCACTGGTATCATCATTGTCACTGGACTCTTGACAGAGTTTGAAATGAAGAACCTGAATATACTGCACCAAGAACAAGTACCCTAAACTTATATACTGGTCATTAAAAACCCTCACCAAACTATGAGAAATGCTGAGAAAATGTGAAAGAAAAGCTAGTAAGTACTAATAATACTAAAGCACATCTTTAACACTTCTTTTCAGGTAAAAATGTGAACTAATCAAAATATGAATTTTAACATGACTACTCATCTCAGTCCATAATTCATATAAAGTAAAGCACGGTGATTCCAAAATAATCAGTAGAAAATGCTCAGATAGCTTTCATTTATCTGCTCTTAGTAAGTAATTTAGAACAGTGTTATGCAATTAAACTAAAAATATTGGGAAGTGAGACAGAGATAGAAGAGATTTAACAATTTGCAGCTTTTCTCTATTGCTCTCATTACAACTTATGAGGTAAAATTAGTAAAGAATTGCTCCCTACTGCAATGAATTATCCACACAATTTTTTGATAGGAGTGTTTTGTTTTTAATAGAAACTCCTTTAGGTTCTGTTTCCCGCTATCTTTTCTTGTAATGCTACGTAAACTTCTAGATTATTACTTGGGGACCTGAACCAGCACAAATGGACAGACTGTTAACTTGGACTCATACAAACACACAGAATTAGAGCACCTAGATGCTATTTTCTTCCAAATGTTCATTTTACAGCTGTCTCAGACTTTGTTTTCCAAAGTGTCCTCATCTAACATGTTGGTTTTCACATCGATAACATAATTCCTCATTTCTCCATAAAGTGAGACAAGCTAAATGACCAATATCTGCTTCTATTAATTGTTCAGAAAGCAACTCTTTAGGATTTTAAATTAATTCTTGGAAAGATGGGTCAGTTGCAGAAAGCATGAAATATAATTTTTTTAATTAAAACAAAAGATTCTCACAACAAGAAGGGTCATAAGGGGTCATAACGATGATCTGGTGAACTACAGGTCTGTCAGCTTGACCTCGGTGCCAGGAAAGGTTATGGAGCAGATCATCTTGAGGGAGATCACATGGCATGTGTGGAACAACCAGGAGATCAGACCCAGATGGCATGGGTTCATGAAAGTCAGGTCTTGCTTGATCAACCTCGTCTCCTTCGACGATCGAGTAACCTGCCTAGCAGATGAGTGAAAGGCTGTTGGTGTACTCTACCTAGACTTCAGCAAAGCCTTTGATACTGACTTTCACAGTATTCTCCTGGAGAAGCTGGCAGCCCGTGGCTTAGACACTGTTTGTTGGGTAAAGAACTGGCTGGATGGCCAGGCCCAGAGAGTGGTAGTAAAGGGAGCTAAATCCAGCCAGTGACCAGCCACTAGTGTTCCCCAGGAGTTGGTATTGCAACCTATCCTGTTTAATATATTTATCGAAGACCTGGATAAGAGGACTGAGAGTCAACAAGTTTGCAAATAACACCAAGTTGAGAGGAAATGTTGATTTGCCTGGGAGTAGGAAGATCCTTCAGAAGGATCTCGACAGACTGGATAGCTGGGCTGAAGCCGATGGAATGAAGTTCAACAAGACCAAGTGCTGACTCCTACACTTTGACCACAACAACCCCAGGTAACGTTACAGGCTTGGGGGAGAGTGGCTGGACATCTGTGTGGAAGAAATGGAGCTGGGGGTATTGGTCGACACTCAGCAGAACGTGAGCCAGCAGTACACCCATGTGGCCAACAAGGCCAATGGCATCCTGGCATGTAATGGAAATAACGCAGCCATTGGGAGCAGGGAGGTGATTATCCCCCTGTACTCAGCTCTTGTGAGGACACATTTTGAGTGCTGTGTTCAGTTTGGGTCCCTCTGTACAAGAAAGACATAGTGGCCCTGGTGCATGTCCAGAACAGGGCAACAAAGCTGTTGAGTGGGGGCATGATTTACTGGGGAAAAGGTAGTAGGTGGTAGTAGGTGGATGATTAGACTAGGTGATCTTGAAGGTCTTTTCCAACCTTGGTAGTGCTATAACACTATGATTCATGTTCTGAGACTCTTAAAGAAAAAGTGATTATGAAAGCTATATATCCACATTGGTTTTGTCTATTCATTTTTCTTACAATAACTGTTTTATATATTCTCTTGCAATGTCTGGCTGTGAAATTATAGTCAAAACAGCTGCTGCTGAAACCTACTATATCTTCTTAAGATACTTAATATCCTAGATGATACATAAACAGACTCATAAACCCTGCTGATTTAGGAACTTATAGTGCTTACAGTGTCAATGTTTATTTAGTAGTTTGAAGCTGGATAGTAATGGAATTAAGTATAAGAATAAAAATATATCACAGAAAATACGCTGTGGAGTCACTCACCTGCCAGTGGAGGATTATATTCCAGATCAAACCAAGAGTCAGTTTATGATTGCCATCCACAATGTCTGAGCTCCCAATATTTACCAAATCAACCTATTAAAAAAAATTGTTTAAACTGCATTAGATTAACAGCAAGCATGAGAGGTTGGTATTATTTTCATACATTTGGTAATTAACTTTCTTCGGGGTGAGGGAGAGTTAGGAACAGGCTAGGATGAATCTTGCATTTTGTTTCTGCTGCTTATAAAATATCCAGCTTATATTTTATACGTGGTGCAGATAATGTGCTGGCAAAAAGCAAGCAGTGATCTAGAGCTCCAATTAATCCAGCTGTGAAAACAAAGAATTAGAAATAATAGTTAATAATAATTTTAAAATCTTTTATAATTAGGTCCTAGAATCACAAATCACAAACCCAAAGGTTGACACGGGAAAGTTCCTGCATTATTCTCTGCAGCACCTTATGTATCAATGTTTGGTAAAAGCAATACATGTATCTAGGATCTGCAAGAACCTGCAAAAATTAACATACTATTCTACACATTTATATTAAAATAGAACTAATTTTGTCTTTCTAAAATTCTACAATGCAGAAGGCAGGGTAGGATTTATTTTAGAGTACAGAAAAACCCATGACTCTGATGTACACGTTTCTTTCCATACTTCTTTGTTAAGCCATGTCAGTTTTTACAATTATATTATGCATTTCTAACTGCATAATGCATCAGTATTTGCCAGCCTGGAATATTCTCTTTTCCACTTGTGAAATGATTCCTTCATCCTCTCCCACTTTTTATGCTATTTAAAAAAGAATGCCAAATTCAGAATTGAGAGAGCAAGACAGTGCACTTTGGGGCAGAAACTAAGATTCTGAAATTTACTTCCTCACTGTTTCATAGATTTAGTTTTTCATGGTCAGAACTAATACATATATGGTGAAGTACCTTGCTTCTTCACAAATTGCAGTCTTCATATCTCTATTACACATCTGTGGCAATTTTAAGTTACATCTATATAATAACTAAAGGTTTTGCACATTGAGAACAAATGTTACCTTCAGTATATTTATGGATAGGTCATTTTTACTAAACATATACGAAGCAGGTATTTTGTCAAGAGCTTGAAAATTTTTCTGTAACAATTTATACTTTTTTCTTTCTCACTATAATAATGTATTAGTTGCTATTCATTCTAGTATATCGGGAACATTTCCCAAGAGGAGTTTCATATCCAAAATGTCATTGGGGTCCATACAGCAAGAGATCCACTACAAAGTTTATTAGGGTACCAGCTACATGTTTTATAAGTCAAATCCTCTGCCTGTATTTGGAAATTGAATCTTTGTCACAGAGACTACATCTGTTTAACTGAAACAGTTAAGAAGAACACTTTTCAATCTCCTTGAGTTTTGTCTGAGTTCACATTAGAACAATTCTCTGCCTGAATACTAGCAAAAATACCACAGGAAAAAAAAACCATCAAAATCTGTAAAACTGATTCACTGGAAGCAGCAGCATTTTTCAATCCAGATGAGTGCACAATCTCAGAGCAAGGATGGGAAACATCACTATTAGTTTCAGTCTTTAAATAGCCATAGAACTGTTGATTTTGCATTTCTGAAGTTCTATAGAAATCACTCTTGAGATTATTTTGAAGGTCGAAGAAGCTATTTCAAAAGCAGATCTTCCAGCTTCATAATGATCTGATCAAAAATATTTTACACAGCTTTCATGATCTTCATTTTATGATACGATGGCCACATAGAGTACACACTCTACTTTGTAAAGGATGCAGCCTGTTCTATGTTGTTCAATGACTGCTTTATTTTCTTTCTACATTTGAAAGGGATTATCCTGGAAACTGAAAGATAAGCACATTAATGGCTTTAGCTGATATTTATTAAATGTTTTTTTAAAAACATTTACTGCGAAAATGTGAATGTATAAATGTGTTCAAAAAAAAGTTTTTGCATCTTGTGAAATGCATGGCTGATTTTTTTCAACAATGTCATATATTGCAGATTGTGAAGAATTAGCAGCTTTCCTCCTATTTATTTACATTAAATTTCATTTAAAAAATCATGTTAGAGGTCTTCATGACAGTCTTATAAGGTCACTTTCATTTATGCACAAATCTCTAGATGGATAAGCATTACCTTGGATTTATAAAATCAATGACTTTATTCAGCAGCTGAACTCAAGCATGTTTAGTGACCTACTGCAGCTATCAAAAAATCCAATATCATATGCAGCACAGAATACTTTATCACTGTTCCATCACATCTTATAGTCGTTTAAGTGAATGTTTGAATTTATTCTTGAGGAGGATGTACAGTGCAATTAGTTGGCCATTGAAAATGCCTGCTAAAGTTATGGGCACATTAGAATGCTTGCACAACAAAGATTTTACTAGAATATTTACTCTAAAAAGATGCACAAGATTCTGGCCTGAATAGTCGTTTTTGACAAAATGGAAAGCAATTTTTATGTGGATGATTTCCTTAATGTTATGAATCCTAAAGAACACATATCAGTGTAAATTTAGAAAAAATATTGCTTTAAAAAAATAACAAAAACAAACAAACAAACAAAAAACCTCATTTTTTTTGGACTTCTTCATTTTTAGAGATTTGCGAGCGTTTGTTTTTTTAGGTAGTGCCTCATAATCAGCTAAGGATGACTTATTGTAATTAACTTTTAAAAACGTATGTTAAACACCATGCGTAACTATAAAATTGTACATGTTGATCAGTCTTCAAATAGCACTCATTATGGATATATTATTCAAACTTTTGCTGGCAGTGGATTTTACTCTTTGAAATACATTCCATACTGGAGCTGAACTCTAAGCGTCCAAGTCACATTAACAAAACTGCCTTGATTCCAGAAATTTTATTCTTTAGTTCAGCATGCATTCTGTAGGACGTTTTGACCCTGCCCATCTGATTACTTACATTATTTCTCTGCAAAATCTGCAGTGCTTTGTTGACATTGTTCAGAGCATGAACTTTTGTGGAGCCCTTTTCTTTTGCCTATAAAGGAAATAAAATAAAATTGACTGTCCAGAATCAGAAAATGGAATACACTGTATATATAATACAAATTTTGTATTACACCCAGTGTTTCATATTTCATAAGTTTATGACAATATTAGTGAGGGTATTACAATACATTGTGCATATGCACCTTCTTCATATGAAACAGAGGCAATTTTAAAACAAACTGAATCCATGGTTGGAAGCTAATTTAGTATCTTGACATTTCCAGTGAATGAATCACTGAAATGTATATAAAAATAGATAATTTCAGATTGTTTATATTCTGATTACTTTCTACTCCATAGCACAATTCAGGAACATTACTATATCAAACAAACAGATACGTATCAGAGTGTTTGATATTTATTTACAAATATAGCCTCTCTGGACTTACCTCTCAGACAGTTTCAACACTCTTTTGTGAGACAGATTGAAAGGAAGATTCCAAACTCACAAAGGGCAAGCAGCAACTCAAGAGAAAGTAGCCAAAACTAGGTTTGATGTGCTGCTTTAGAATTTACAGGTTGCAAGCTAGTCTGACTTTTTAGATGTGTATTACTTCAATATATGAACTATGAACATGACATTTATTAGCAAAATATTCTAATTATATACACTAAATAATATTATGTTTAGTTAAAATGTCTACTGATGCATAATTGCTGAATTACAGCTAAAAACCCAAATACCTAAATGAATCAAATCTCATAGAATGAATGGCCAGGGTCAGAAAGGACCTCAAGGATCATGAATCTCCAACCCCCTGCCACATGCAGGGCCACCAACCTCCCCATTCAATATTAGTCCAGGCTGCCCAGGGCCCTATCCAACTTGGCCTTGAACACCTCCAGGGACATCCACAGCCTCTCTGGGCAGCCTGTTCCAGTACCTCACCACTCTCTCTGTAAAGAACTTCCCCCTGACATCCAACCTACATCTTTCCTTCCTCAACTTAAAACCATTTCCCTCAACTTAAAACCATTTCAAATCTCATCCTTTTTTCTCTTTACCAATATATGCATACCAGCAAATTTGAGTGTTTTCATGTTACATATAACCCTATCAAAGATTTCCTGTCAAATATAGGGCTCAGTTGTAGTATTTCCTCAGTTTCAAATTAAAATTCAAGATATTGCTTCCATAGGGCACATTTCACTGGGAGAATTTCACATTTCACTGGGAGAAATTAACAGATAATGTATTACAACTGTTGAAAGATCATGTCTTCAATATTGAGCAGTAACATTACTATACATACAATTTTTTGGCCTGTAAGGCATTCCAGGAGCTCCAGAAGTTTTCGTCCATCTCGAAAATCATTAAAAAGATCTTCAATGCAACGTCTTCCACACTGAAATGTAACAAAGGCTTCTGTCGTTACAAAATCAGAGCAAGAATCAGTATTGCTAAATTATGGCACCCAACTCTGAAAGCTGAAAAAGCCACCATCATGAAAATCTGCGTATTCTATTTGTGTAAAAATACTGTGCAAATTTAAATAAACATTAAATACAAGAAATATGGTGCAATATAAAGGAGAAAAATATCTTACAACTGAACTTGTAGGATTTTCTCACATACCTGCACTTTGTAACAGGGCGCTGAGTAAGAGAAAGTGGTGCCACTAATTTTAAGTACTTATGGCAAGGAATGCATCCTTCATTCCCTCTTAAACTATTGACATCATAGGTTTAATATAAGCCACTGTTGTGTTCATTCAGCCAGGACAACAAACCACATTTTGGCCTGCACTGCACAGCATGTCCAGCTGGTCAAGAGAGGTAATTCTCCCATTATATTTAGTATTGGTGTGTCCTTAACCTGTGCAGCTCTGTGCTTTGCCATGTGAAAAAAGATATTAAGGTCCTTGAAAACGCCCAGAGGACATCAAAGTTTATAACAAGGCTGAAGATATGTCCCATGAGGGAAAGCTGAGGGCACTGGGCTGTCCAGTCTGGAGAATAGGAGGCCAATAGGCAACCTCAACTCCTCTCTACATCTCCCTGAAGAGGGGAAGCAGAGGGAGGTGCTGGGCTATGATCCTGCCAGTGACAGGACAGGAATGGCACAAAGCTGTGCCAGGTGAGGGTAAGATAGGCATGAAGGAAATTTATTTACTCTGAGGATGGTAAAATACTGGAACAGGTTCCCCAGTGCAGTGGTTGAAGCCCCACTCTTGTCAGTATTCAAGTTGGATTATGCACTCAGTAATATGCTTTAACTTTTGGTTAGCCTTCAAGTGGTCAGGTATTTGGACTCTATGATCTCTGAAGATCTCATCCAGTTGAACTATTTTATTTTGTTCTGTTTTGTTCTATCTGTGAGAAAGTGTTGCAGAACCAACCATTTGCATACACCATTACTCAAACAATTAAGCCAGAATTAAATATTAATGAAGCCTGAACAGAAACTTGCCGATTAAGGATCACTTTAGGAGAAAAAATAAGAAAAATAATTTGCGAAAAGCCAGAAAGATGTAACAAGCTGAAATGTTTAACAGTCTCTTTTTCAAGTGCTAGAAAAGAACTTGGAATTACACAAAGAAAGCAAGTCATAGGCTTATTCTAATGAGGGTGTGACAAAGGTCTATGTTGATAGGACATACTTGGAATTATACTGACTCAGGGCCTCATTACTGTAAGTGACTAAAAGATAATTTGCATTTCTACATATCAGCAGCGAAAGAAAAAGGGACAATGTGACAACGGCAAAAGATTATTTACTCTTCCTATTGTTAGGTCAAGTTTCTGGGCTGACATTTGGACTAATGCATTAAATCTTAACAATGCAGTACTACACATTTGTATAGCTTAGTCACTTTGTAACTTTTCTGCGCACCTACAGTCTCTTGAAAAAAAAAATTATTTGCATGAGCTCTGTTAACAACAGCAATAAAAAACAGTGATTATTTTGTAGAGTGTCTAGTAGTCTCACCTGTCCCTGTTATTTCTAATTTGTCAAGTTTCACAGATGCTTTGATTCATTTGAGAAAAAAACTGTAATTTAATTTGCTAGAATTGACACCACGGTGACCATGCTACACTGTGTATCTTCTTTTACTACAAAGCAGTGTAGAATTGAGAATCCATATTACATGGAAAACATTTGCTTTTCTGTTAGCAGAAAAGTTTTGGAATGCACAATACTAGCTGGGAATTAAGTAAGAAATGTATTTTTTTTTTTTTTTTCTGAAAATGTCTGTTTCTTCAGAAAGTTTCTAAAACAGATAATGGAATTACGACAGTTTCCATTGCTAGATTCATTTTTTCCCCTCAGTCAATCAGTATTTATATGTACAGCACAAAGTATAGTGCCATTGACTACTCTGGCATGACTCCCTCTTTCTCTCACTGCTTCTGTTTTTCTGAAGTAGTACTTCTTTCAGTCCTTTTTTTGGTAGTATCTTGTTTCTTCTTCATGGAATCAACAAATCCAAAACATCAAATATTTTCTACAGCAATGGGGATCCTTGCTCTTTAGCCAGCTTTCACAACCTGCACTATCCATTCTAATAGATACTTTCTACTTGATACACATGCTGCCATTTCATTACTGTAAACATTTGAAAACTAGTACTGAATAAATTCATATCTGCTTTTTAAGCCCTGCCCAATCGCTTGAAATATGAGTTTTAACTAATAAGACTGAGTGCTTACTATGATAAATAGCTTTACTAAAATGTTTCCAATGATACAAACACCATATGCCTAGTCAGTTCACGCACAGTATTCCTGAAGTTGCATGTTAGTTATTCAATACAGCACAAATTTGAAATGCAAGCATTTGACTAAGTGGAATAGATGTTACTTTGCTCTCTAATTAAAAAAAAATAATAATTGAAGTTATTTTTGCAGAGGGAAAGAACAAAACCTATACGCTTTTAAGAGGACATTTTAGCATTCTTTAGAAAGTTCAAGTGATCAACAGACACTTCTGTAAAACCCTGGAATAATCATGCCCATAATGTTACTGAATCATTCTGAGAATATGAGCATGACATTTAGGTAACAATATAACTATATCAACACCATGAGGAAAAACAGAATTGGCCTTCATAACTACCTCTCTGTCTTCCATTTCAAAGTATTCACACAGCTTTGGTCGAAATCCATCCAGGACAGGTGAAAATTCTACTTGACAAAATAATGTGGGATATTTTTTTCCATTAAGAAGGGAAATAAAGACACCGCATGGTAGCAGCTGCAGCAAGACATTTTAATTACAAATATATCACAAATAAACCTTAAAACAAAAGTTACCATTGATTTTTGAGGGCCTCAGAAGTATACTTTCTATTAATCAGCAACTAAAAATACCTTAAGACACTCTAGGCTGCTGTCACACATCTCATCCTTACCCTTAAGAAGGCTGTGATTTTTCTGGCAATAGGGTAATTAAATCTTTGTGCTCAATAGATTGAATGTCTTCAGTGGATTGATACTGCAGTAAGTCTTCAGAAACAAAGGGCTCACAGAAGCATCAAATAAATGCATTGTATTTTCAAGGTCATTGAAAAGTGTGTTTTAAGTTGTATGTAGCTTCACAAACAACTAAAAAACAATCACAGCTAAGCCTAGGCCTGTATTATAAATTTTTGATAATAGCCTTGCTTAAAACCTTTTTTTTTGTTGTTGTTTTTTGAAGTCATGAACTATAACTGCTGCTCTTTATCTGCAGAAGAATTTAAATGTTTACAAGAATCTCCCGTGCAGTTTACATGCATGATGATTTGCATTACAAATATACTCACAACTGCTGTAGGCTGAAATGCTGAATCATACTTAGACTTTCCCCTTATAACACTGATGATAGAACAGGTGAGGGAAAAGAGAGAGGATATGGAGAGGATGGAGGAAGGACTGTGAAGGAAGGACTGTGAATGAGGCATAGCAGCCTGATTGGCTGCAACTGAAAGCCAGAGATAATTGTATGGTTTAACTCCATATATGAACTACAACATTAGTTGTATACATTAGCAAAGTAATTGGAATCTCTCTCTTCCTTACTTGCTTACTTATTTTAGGGAGTCTGACAATTAATGGAGATACCTTGGGGTTTGGAGGAAGAAATGAGAAGGACAGTGGGAAACAATAAATGGAAGAAAGAGGGAATAATTGTTAAACCGTTTTTTGTGTGTATATATTTTTTTTTTTTAATGAAAGAAACAGTGAAGTCTTTACAAAAGTAAAACTAACAAAAAAAAAAAAAAAGAATTTATTGGAATCTTTATGAGTAGAAAGACTCTAGGGATTTAAATACACAGCGGTGTTTTACGTATTATTTAACCTACTATCTTCATGTTGAATAAAGGTCACAATAGACAATTCTCTTGGTTTAGCTGATATGGCCGGCTGGCAGAAACTGCTGATCTTTACATAACCTAAGGAGACCTGTATGAAATCCAGGGATTTATTCTAAAAAGAAAATCACAAAAGAATGTGATGCAGAAGGGAAGATTCCTGTTTTATTATAGATGAAATTAAAGTCCCAACTTAAATGAAGACAGAAGAGAGTTCTGATTAGAATTCTGAACATACATATGCCGTATCACATGGAGAAAAGAATCTCTCTGTTACCCTGGCAAACTGCACTAACCTCAATCTTACAATTACTGCGTAATGTACAATTAACAGCTCAGAAAAACAGGGCCACTTGCAGTAGTCTCTTCCACCACATATTATAGGAGAATGTGTACTTAAGAGTACTCCATGTGTTAATTCAGCCACATGTACGCAGTCTATAATGCTCTCAGTATTCATTAGACTGAAATAACACTGAAAATGTACCAGTTATTTTCCAAACTCAGTCAGCAACTGAATCAATCCCATGACAAAAAGCACTACTGAAAAAGACAAAAGCAGACAGAAAAGAGAGAAAAGAAAAAATTGAGAAACAGACTGCAAGCAAGGGTCAATAGATAAATGTTGAAAATTGAAAATTTTTGATTATGAATATATTTAAAAATCATAAAACGTCAAATTCTATCCTATTCACCTCACTACTGTCTAATTTTTGTGACAATTTGTGCTCTTCTTTCCAAAGATTCTGCATCAGATCTTTTTCTCCTCATGTAAATCGAATAAATAGTCAAAAAAAGATTTAATCGTGTTATTTCTCATATGCATTATGGAAAAAGTTAATATTAAAGTAATTATTGCATGAAAAGACGGTATTCTGTGAAAAGCTCTCTGTTCAGTGCTATGTGCCAACTAGTAATTATGAAAGTGACACAGAAAGGAATACAAAATAATTGAAAGATAACTTGTGTGGACAAGGTACAAAGACATCTGTTGATGAACACTGCCTTTTCTGTTACATGTCATTCAAAAAAATTCAAAAACTGTTAAAAAG